AAAAAAAGAAAAGAAAAAAATAAAGAAAAAAGGCTCACAATCTGATGCAGATCCAAGTCAGAACTAGACTGGCAGCTGAGAAAGGAAAACCTCCATGAGACGAGACTGCCAGAACTACATGTTGCTAAGTAGAAACTCTATCAGCCACAGCAGGATTTCAATGCTGCCTGCCTGACCAAAAAAAGCAAAGCAAACCAAAACACACACACAACCAGGCATGCAAAATCCAGAATCGATATTGTCATGTGTTGTTTTGTTCCATTGACACAAACAGTTTGATGTTACTGCCAGGGTATTTGTCAATACTAATCAGTCTCACACACAAACAAACACAATTCAATCTCATGGAGTCACAAAGCCAGCCTGATTTTTCAGCGTAACAATTACACTGGTACAGCTCACACTACCTACTTAAATCAGAGTGGATGCATTCAAATCTACTTTTTAGAAGGACAAATTTTAGGCTGTGAAGTTTTCCTAGAGGGTTAATTCATCTTAAAATAAGAAATGAAAAATTGAATGCAAAGAACAGCTTTTACATCAATTTTCTAAACTGCCTTTTTGCATGGGTAGAAAAATTGACAGTCGTAATGAACGCACGAACTTAAGCTGAGAAGCAGGGTGGTTTTTTTTAAGAATGATATCCTCCTTGTAGAACAGCAACAACAACTTCTTTAAAGAGCCCTATAGGAGTTGCTGTTCTTGTATGTTTTCAAGTTGTTCTGATTTATGGAAATCCAAAGACAACCCTATCACAGGTTTTCTGGAGTTTTTTCAGAGGGGTTTTTGCCATTGCCATCATCTGAGGCTGAGAGAATGTGACTTGTCCAAGGTCACCCAGTGGATTTACTGGGTCAAGCTGGCATTCAAACCCAGGTCCCCAGAGTCATAGACCAACACTCAAAACCAATATACCACACTGACTCACTCTGTCAGGAGAGGCTGGTGTTTATTTCGGATGGCTGACAGATGTCTTTGTTTCAGTGAGTTGGGAGAAAGGCCTTGATTGTCAACAGAAAAACTGTAGAAAATGTAGATTAAAAAATATAACATCAAAATCAAGGAGAATGCCCTAGATGGTTTGGTCTCTGAAATCTGCTGGGCAGCCTTTTTGCTCTGTTTCACCCTCTTTGCAGTTTTTATGAAGTCTTGCATATGTTTCCATTGATTAGTTCATTGTTTTTATTGTTTATTATAATGCCCATTCCCCTGAGAGCTCTACAGAGTCTTGCTGGTGGAGTTTTAGTATCTTAATGTTTCACACATTTCAAGTAAGTTTTACGGATTTGTAGCTTTTAGATTAGGAAAATGTAGGGTCAGCCATATGATGCGGCTGCTGTCAAATTTGAATTGTTTTTTGATCTCTGCTCTGATTGTATCCTGGTTTTCTTTTTTTTTTTTAATTGGCTGGAATTATGATTTTATTTATTTCATTGATAGAGAGCAGCAAACCTCAGTTATTAGGAATCTAATAAGTAAAATAAATAAATAATAATTTGTTACAGAGAACACTAAGGACAATAGGTAATCTCATGGCATATCTGGCTCCTTTTGGCATCCCATTTTGATATAAAAGAAAGAGGCTGATGGAGCAATGTCATGCCAATAATAGTCTTTTTATACATAAGGAAGGATTCTCAATCTCTCATAAATCTCCTTCCCATTTCCATCAATCTGCAGCAGGATATAACAGTCCACTTAGGAACAGCTTCATTTCTCAAGTAGGGCAAACACTAGGAGCCTCAGCAAGATCAAGGAAAAGCAAAGAAAGAGAGGGTTTATTCAAAAAGAGTAGGAAAGCCATGAGGACCAGCAGGGAAGCTGCAGTCCTAGAATTAAGGGAGATGGTGTTTTTGCTGTCTTTCAAAGATTCAGATTAATTCAAAGCTTAAACAGGGTTTTGTAATGATCTGTTTCCTTTGGTAATTGGCTCTCCCACATACAAAATTAGACTCCTGGGGACAGGGGAGGGCACAGATCTTTTACCCATTAATATATAGGGTGTTTGGAGATCTCGTTGCCAGGCCTGAAAGGATGGGTGGTAGAGAGTGCAGAAATAATTTTAAAATGCCTGGGTTATAATAGAACTACAGACTCTCCCAAACAAACATACAACGCAGATAGCATTCTTCAAATCACTGAGAGCAGTATTAAATCCCCTTTGGCCGGACATTCATGATGACTTAAAATATTGCCTGTTGTTTTTTTTGTTTTTTTGTATATATATTTTTATTATCATTATACATTGTTACATAGATTGCTTTTTACATAATAGTAAATACAGTAACTTCTTCAAATCTGTCTCTTAAATCATACATATTTATAGACTTCTTAATCAAACCATCAACTGATTTTAGGTAATCTAAATGAAATATTGTTTTGCGTTCCCTCTTACTGTAATTTTTTTTCACCACAGCAAGTCAACAAGAGAGTTGCAGAAAGGGAAACTGAGGATGAATTACAATAGCTATCTTGAGCCAGCATGGTGTCGTGGTTTGAGTATTAAAGTACGATTTTGGAAACCAGGGTTTGATTACCAGCTCAGCCATGAAACCCACTGGTGATCTTGGGCAAGTCACATGCTCTCAGCCTTAGGGGAAGTCAATGGCAAACCTCATCTGAATAAATCTTGCCAAGAAAACCCTAGGGCTGCCATAAATCAGAATGACTTGAAGGCATACAGAGACTGGTGGGGGGGATAATAGCTATCAGGTCGCAGGGCAATTCCACAGTGGAGTGAAATCTGAACAAAATTTATTTATGTTACACTGCTTATTTATTTAATTTTCAGCCCGTCTTCTCTCCATTCAAAGAAGCAGATAAAAACATGTGAAATTATAGTTATATTAATTCTTCACGCACACCACTATTGAGGCAGTCACTGGTGTGTTTGTTCAGGCAGCCTAGGCAAGAAAAATAATTAAGCTGCCACCCTGCTAATACCCCGTCTCAAACCAATTTGAGCCCAATTTTTAAAAAAGGCATGCAGGATCACTTCACAGGCCTTCACATCTGGTTTGGCCTTCAGCAATTGTGTTGTTTCTTGCCCATGCACGGCTGCAGCAAGCTTCTTATTCCCCCAGTTCTTTACAACAAAGTTCTCTCAATATACAGAGCAGCACAATAACCCTAATCTAGGAACATGCTGCTTTGTCTAATGAGCTGTAGCTATTTAAGTGGCTCATGCCTCGACTATAATATATGTCAGCAACACTCCAGTTCAAGGGTATACTCCTGTTACATTTATATTTGCATGGGGATTTTGAATCAGGCTGTTAGTGAGAGAAAAATCAAGAGAATGGGAATGCTCTAGTTATAGGTCCTGCATTGGGCAGGATTGGACTCAGTGGCCAGTGAGGCTCCTTCCCATTCTACGGTTCTATGATTTTCATCTTTATCATCTGCATAACAAACATTAAAAGGGAACATTAGCTATATAATTTACACAAGATGCAAATGGAGTCAAACTTGGGTGTTCTCCAGAAATGAACCCAGAGCTTAGAAAAATTACTTTTACAGACCCTGGCTTCTAGGATCCTGAGGGATTCTGGGAGCTGTAGTTCCCTCCCCTCCCCCCAAAAAAACCTTTTCTAAGTGGTGAGTGAACATCAATCAGATTTTCACTCTGCATTTGCAAATAGTTTCTTTCTTACCTTTTTCGCTGGGTTTTATAAAGCTAGGCTGACAATTTGGCAGTACTGTACCTTGATAAATTAAGCAATTACAGAAATCAAACGGGCATTTTCCAGCACACTTTATTTTGCAATCATTAACCAATTTAATTTTTATTTATTTTTTTTAACAGCTGCCCTAGAAGAAGTGAATCAATGACCTTGTCCTACATGACCACTGGAATGATTTTAACCCTGAGGCTTTTGTCTTGTCAATACATTATTGGGCACAGGAAGAAGCAGCTTGGTTGAGAGGAGCACAGTAAAAATCATAATAGAATGCTCTTTTTCAAAACGATACCTGAAAGGACACTACACCAATTGTACTACTGGTTTCACAAGTTAAAACAGCAATAACCTTCATAATATTAACACAATTCAGATGGCCTTCTTGGAACTTATTAGGGTTAGGAGAAACCTGCACATAGGTCCGACCTATAATAGAGCTTTCTATGGAATGGTTCATGGAGCTGGGATGGACCTAGACTTGGTCTTATTGTAGTATGGCATTTTAATTTCCTTATAGTTTAATCTTGTTTTAATGGGATGGGTGGGGAGATTTTGGGATGAGGGAATGTTTTTAACTCTGTATGTTTTAAAATGCTGTAACCCGCCCAGATTGCCGAGCAGAGAGGCGGGCTATAAATAAAATTATTTTATTATTATTATTATTATTATTATTATTATTATTATTATTATTATTATTGGAGAACACTGTGCTTTGTTCCTCCCATTGGAATATTAGATAGTGGTGGCAGTATTCCAGAAATCAGTACTAGTGGCTACTTCTCAGCCCATGGCAAAGTCTGGCAAAGATTGCCATGCTTTACCTGGAGGAGGCCTCCTCATACGAAGTGAAATGGCAGGATGACAACACCCAGCAAAGCCAGAGGAAGCTGGCAGCCCTATTGTGACAGATGCAGAGCCTGTCCATCCTAGGCAGGACCTGCAGATTTGGAGAAGGCGCTGGAGACTTAGCACCCTCTCAAGTATCAACAGTTAAAACACGGAACAGAAACACCAGAGATGCTCCCCTCTGCCTTAAGTAAACTGAGTTAACAAGGCCATCTGGGCTTATTTATTGCTGCCTATAAATTCTGCCATCCTAGCATTTTGAAAGCAGTAGATAAATAAGTACCACTTCGGTGGGAAGGTAAACAGCGTTCTGTGCAATCATGCTGGCCACAGGATCATAGAGTAGTCTCTGACAATGCTGGCTCTTCGGCTTAATAACGGAGATGAGCACCGGCCCCTAAGGTTGGACTCGACTTGACAACCTTGTCAATGGGGAATACCTTTACCTATAACTTCTATAAATCAGGTTGGGAAACCAGCTTGGCAAAGTGGTTTGAGTGTTGGACTATGACTCCGGAGACCAGGGTTCGATTCCCAGCTTGGGCATGAAACCCACTGGGTGACCTTGGGGAAGTCACATGCTCTCAGCCTCAGGGGAAGGGAATGGCAAGCTTCCTCTGAACAAATCTTGCTGAGAAAACTGCATGATAGGTTTGCCTTAGGGTTGACATAAGTCAGAAACAATTTAAAGGCACACAACAACAACAACAACAACTCAGCCAAAGCCTCTTGGTTACATTGTCTGATATCTTGGGCTTTGTGCATCTCTGACCCTTGGTTTGAATCTGGGCTAATCAAAATGCCTTTCTCAGTTTTGGACTCAGCTCAGAAAAGTTTGCTTCATTTGTCTTTGAACTGTCTGGGTAGTGCTTCTGCTTCTAGATATTCGTATCATGTTGGGACTGGTCTGGCTTTTCCCTGATTATCTTCTGCAGACTGGAGGTGTATACTCCTGAGTGTAACAGTGAAACACACTCCCTTGGAGTGTGGTGGAGTCTTCTTCCTTGGAAGTCTTTAAACGGAGGCTGGATGGTCATCAGTCGGGGCTGTTTTGATTGTGAATTCCTGCATGGCAGAATGGGATTGGACTGGATGGCCCTTGTGGTCTTTTCCAACTCTATGATTCTATGATAGGGCAATGATGGAGATAAATGTGCTGAATTGATCATTAAAGCTATGTGCCTGGCTTACCCAGCCACAGCTACTTCCATATATGTACCTCTCAACACTGAAACAATCTTGTCCACTGCGACAATCTCACCCAGTCCTTGGGTAAGGTTTAATAAACTCGATGGGGAGAACTGTGTGGTCCTCCATATTCATTATATGGCAACTCCTGGGAGCCCTAGTGAGCACAGCCAATTGTGAGGACTGTTGGGTACTGCAATCCAACTGCATCTAGAGCCACCCTTAAGGCAATGGTGCTGGGAAGGCTCTGCTGTCAGCCCACACATAGACCATCTCCAGTTCTTTTCACAACGGTGTGACAGCTGTTTGGTAGTGATGCTGAGAAGACCAACAAGCCAAGAGTCCAATCTCCCTGGTGCATTTTAATTATATTGGACTCACCCCAACCTACAGTTCACTCAAGAGCAGAACACATAATTTGTAGAGGAAATGTCCTAGAATCAATTGGTCTTACTGTCAACTTCATGACAGCAAGAGTTGTTCAGCAATGGCACCAATTGCCTAGGGAAGAGGTGGTGGTCTCCCCTCTTGATGTCTTCAAAAAGACTGGACAGCTACCTATTGGGAATGCTCTTAGCTGGAGGTCCTACACTGAGCAGGGGATTGGATTCAATGACACACAAGCCCCCATCCAACTCTATTATTCTATGGAGCCTCTAATTAGCACATGATGAGAAAGATCCTGGAATGACACTGTGCACTAACATTAAGGGCTACCTAGGAAATCTTATTATGATTGTTATTATGGATAAAGGTTGAAAGAACAATGCTAGGCAGATAATTATTTCCTTAATAAAAGTGATTGATCAAAAAGGATCTGGGGAAATTCTCAAAGCTTCTCTGTTAAGATTATAAAAGGAAAATGCTTTGTTTGGTGGTTAGAATTAATTTCTTGAAGTGTTTCCCACCTACCTGTGTTTAATAAAAATGAACACATTTCAAAGTCTTTCATTTTCAGAATCAACTTTGACAACTGCTAGCCTGATAGTCTGGTTTGGCATAAGACAGATGTCCTCCACATTTGCTGCTACTGCTGCTGTTGTTATTATTGGTTCTTGCCAAAATAAGGTGCAGGAGGGACTTCTTTCAGACTCTTCCATGTTTCTGAAGACATTTTGGGGTGGGGGGCTTGCCAAAAAATCAGAGGGAAACTGAGAGGGACAGAAAAATAGCTTTGATGAGCCCTATTTAATCCACGGGGCCTGTTTTTCTATTCCTTACATCACAGGCAACTGTTGATTTGAAACTTTTTGGAAGGGTAACAAAGGAGCAACAATAATTATTTTGCAAATGATTTATTGACTGGTAACATCATTGATTTTTAATATAACAAGTAGGCTTACTTGCCACTTGCCATTACTTTTGGAAGAGTTAAAATGCTCTCCTGGATTATTCTGGTTTCCTTCTACCAAAAAAAGGGGAGGAAGCAAAAAAGGAACCACAGAAAAAGCAAAAAAGCAATGTAACAATGTAACAGTTATTTTTGAAGTCTTGCAAGCTTAACAGCATTGTGTTACTTTCCCGTAACAAGTTGCTTAATTATTTTTCAAAACTAACAAGCCATCATAGTACTATCCTCTGAGTCCTGCAGTGTGCAATTAAAATACTGTACTTAGAAATCTATGCGGGTGTAGTATTCAACAACTAACAATTCTGAGCCCCTACTGGGTGCCTGGTTAGGAATGTAAATATAATAGAGAAACATCATGATACACATTTCTCAAAAAAAGAGTTGTGAGTTGGGAAGTTAAAGACACC